GACCTTTGTCCTTAAAATGCAGATGGACTGCTGAGTCTTGTCCTGTGGAGGTGACTCTTCTATGTTGTGCCATGTGCTTGTGAAGTGGCTGTTTGGTCTCTCCAATGTAGAGGTCTGGGCATTCCTCGCTGCACTGTACAGCATACACCACATTGTTAAGTCTGTGTTTTGGAGTTTTGTCTTTCGGGTGAACCAGTTTTTGTCATTTGACCTTAGAACTGAAGAAGCTTCTCGGATGAGAGGTGAAACGTCTTCAAGCAACTTAAAGAAGTCCAGACGCTTTTCTTTGCAAGCCCCTTTGACTACGATGACCTGGATGACTGAGAACCTTCACAGACACTTTGTGTTAGTTCTTGTTCCCTTCTGAACATCCAAATAGCAGAATTCGAATTGATTCAGTTTTATTTATATAGTGCCAAATTGGAACAGTTGTACTGATAAAGATAAAGGTAAAGACCCTGCAAAAATAAAAGGAGAACTTCAACAATCACTTGATTATTTGGGGGAAGAATAAACTCCAGCAGAACCAGGCTCAGGGAGAAGCAGCCATCTGCCACGACCGGTTGGAGGTAAAGGGATGGAGACAGAAGGACAGAAAAGACATGGACTGTGCTTTTCACTGTACTGTTGTTGCTACCTCTGCAAGCCGCTTCACAACCCAGCTCCACCAAAGCTTCTGTAATGTTATGGTATTCATGTAATTTCTGACATTACCAATACTGGCTCCAATGGCACCACTGTCTGCTCTGTTCTGTGAGGGGGTCTCTCACAGTCTATACGCATTCTAGATATTAAACCATTAAAACAGAGTATCTAGTCTATAAGTATGACGTCATTAGCAGTCTAAATTTTGCTTCAGGTCCCAAAGTCAAACAAACACTGTGGCATCACTAAGAGTTACAAACTGTCTGTCTGTTTCATCTTTAATAAAATGGTGGCTACTCTAACAGGTGTAACAATTAAATTTAACATCCAGGCATCCATGAAAACAGAATTTATAAAATTTAACAGCGTTCGAAGTTAGCAGGGAGTTATCTTGCTAGTTTCCACTCAAACATAATATATCATGTTCTGATTGAGGGATATAGCTCTGCGATCACTTCCAACATAAACGAAGACAGAAGACTAAACAGTGACGTTTGTAGTGTTACTGATGTTGGGGTAGCTGATATATAATGATGTGCTACGTGGTGGCTAGTGACACAGCTATGTTAGCATACACAGTGAAGCTGGAGAGTGAATGCTAACTTTTTTCTACTCGATAAAAGTTTACGTGAAGGTTCCCGACACAAATGCAATCACATGGCAGGATGCTATAAACGGACCAAACTTCAGCAGGAGAATAACTGAGATAATCCACAATACGAGGTTAGTCATTAATATACTGCTGCATGGGCTGGGCTGTAGTTACATTGTAAGGTTTTAAAAACTGAGCTTTGAAATGAATAGTGGTAATAAAAACTGAGTGAGGCCGACAGTGATCACTGACTGTTTTTAGGGGCTTGTTCGTGATTAAATAGATCAAGATACAAAGCATTAAAACATGTTAAAAACACAACAGCCGTAATATAGGCAGAATAGTTTGGACCCAGAAGCAGGGTTCAAACATCATCACTTAAAGACAGGATAGTTGATGACAGAGAGCAAGAGGGCCACATCTCTCTATTGCTAATTACTTTATACAACTAAAACAGGTTTTGCTATATCTGTTGATATTGCGTTACTACATGGATTGACAGGTGAATTTGAAGCTTCTAACATGCAAGTCAGCTAGGTAAAAATAGACAGCATGTAAAGATAGAGCCAGAGCCAGGAAAAGAACTGGCCATGAAAAAGGCACACAGACACCACTCGACAGCAACACCACAGGTGCCAGCGGTTTGCCCTTGGCACCTGTGGTGTTGCTGGAATGAGATGGAGAGGATTGCTTTATTTATTTATTGGATAATGTAGCCTTGATTCTCTAGCTGTACACAGAGATGAGTGGGCTATCGAGCTTCTTTTCCGCCCCACACCCTATTTTCATTTTCAAATCGGTGGTTTACACATTTACTCGTGTAACAGACTTTTCAAAGTGAAATAGGAGGCATAATATAAGATGTAGAATAAAAAGATGTAGCCTTCAAGATTAAATGTCTCCACAATCAGTTCCACTTTCTGTGAGAAAGGAGCAGTACTATAAATGAGCTAGCAAAGAATGAGGTGACAGAGAAACAGAGCAGATATATGTCGCCTCATAAAGGTTTTTACACACCTATTAATCATTTGTAATATTCTTTGAGACCTTTACACAGGTTCTTTGACATATATCATCAGAGTAGTTCTCCTTAACTATATTTCCCAAAGTTTCTCTTCACTTTTACAGTGTGTTGCGAACATACTTTTATAAGTGGAGTTCCACTTAAGTAGCTTAGACTTATATATACTGAATATAAAAGATGGACATGGCCTCTGGTTCTGAAAAGTTAAAGAAATGCATAAGTCCCTGCATTCCTTTAGTAAACATTTTCCAGCAGGGTTTGTGGTCTCTCAGCATAATATTCATGCTGTATTGAAAACAGATGATAAAGCAGTGTGCTTAAGGCATGGCTGTCTTTAAACTGTCAAATCACTGCTGTATAGGTTTTCATATTGTCCTCGGGTTCTAAGTAGGCATAGATATTAATAGTACAATGCAAACTGCAAGCTTTTTTGTAATGTCTTTACGCAGTTATCAGGAATACTTTTCCAGTTATCTTAAAGAACATTCAAAGCTCTTTTTTGGCTATTGACTGCATTTTATTCTGTTCTTTGTCAAAATGATGCCATTTTGATACCAAAATGCTGCAACACATATTATTGAGGTCCAGGCTGTGGGGAGGCCAATCAATGACTGATAATGTTTTTCTGTCTAGATATGCTTATACTGCACTGGCTGCTAGTAACAAAGATATAAATAACAGTAAAAAGTAGGCTGCAAACCAGTGCATGTTATTTTGGTGGCAAAACTTTTTTCTGTGCTTCCATTTTTCCATCCATCCATCCATCCATCTTCATCCGCTTTATCCGAGGTCGGGTCGCGGGGGCAGCAGCCTAAGCAAAGAGGCCCAGACCTCCCTCTCCCCAGCCACCTCCTCCAGCTTATCCGGGGGAACACCAAGGCGTTCCCAGGCCAGCCGAGAGATATAATCTCTCCAGCGTGTCCTGGGTCTGCCCCGGGGCCTCCTCCCGGTGGAACACCTCACCCAGGAGTCGCCCAGGGGGCATCCTTGTCAGATGCCCGAACCACCTCAGCTGGCTCCTTTCGATGTGGAGCAGCAGTGGCTCTACTCTGAGCCCCTCCCGGATGGCTGAACTTCTCACCCTATCTCTAAGGGAGAGGCCAGCCACCCTTCGGAGGAAGCTCATTTCTGCCGCTTGTATCCGCGATCTCGTTCTTTCGGTCACTACCCACAGCTCGTGGCCATAGGTGAGGGTAGGGACGTAGATCGACCGGTAAATTGAGAGCTTCGCTTTTACACTCAGCTCCCTCTTCACCACGACGGACCGGTGCAGCGTCCGCATTACTGCAGCTGCAGCCCCAATCCGTCTGTCGATCTCCGGCTCCCTTCTCCCATCACTCGCGAACAAGACCTCGAGATACTTGAACTCCTCCACTTGGGGCAGGAACTCATCCCCGACCCGGAGTGGGCACTCCACCCTTTTCCGGCTGAGAACCATGGCCTCAGATTTGGAGGTGCTGATCCTCATTCCCGCTGCTTCACACTCGGCTGCGAACCGTTCCAGTGCGAGCTGGAGGCCCTCACCCGATGAAGCCAATTGGTTAGTGAAATTATCTTACCTCATTAGTTTCTTACACCACAAATGATGATTTTATGCTTCATAAACCACATCATGGCAGCAAAAATGCGTAACCTAACACAGTGGCTACAAAAATTTTAAGCCACCTTTCGTTTCTTAATCGTTTTCCGGAAACATGGGAAACAGGTTCAGGGATTTAATGAAATCATGAAAACAAGGAAGTACATTATTGTAGAGTTCGAGCTTGAGAATCAATATTTGATACCGTATGAGCACCTTTAATCTTTACTACAGAGTGAACTTTCTCAGGCAGCTTTCCTGTAATTTCTTCAGGCTTCTCAGAAGACATTAATCAGAATCAGAATACTTTATTAATCCCTGGGGGAAATTATTTTATAAAATTATAAAAGCTCTTCTTGGCTGCCTTTTGTATTGTTCCCTGTCAAGATGATCCCACACTGCTTCAATAATGTTGAGGTCTGAGCTTTGGGGAGACCAATCCATGAATGGTTGTATCCCATTGCGTGTTTTTCTGTCCAGGTATGCTTTTACTGCATTACTGAAAAATTAAGCTCAAGAACACTTTAAAAAAATATAAGTCTGTCCACTTTGAAGCAAAGTTCTGAAAAATGAAGCGTTGTATAGGAATAAATTTATGAACTGCTAATCAACACTCTGTTGCGCTGTCTTATGACTGACTGGATTTTGTAGCCATCCACTCACTCCAGCGAAGACAACCCCAACATTCTGGCAGACGTTGAAGATGGCTGGCAGATTCTGTTTCTCCACTGTAGCTCTAACTTGTACTTACATTGCTGAAGAGGTCCCGGTGTAGCTTCAGATTGTACAATCATTGCCATAGAACTTGTGCCACAACATATAGAAGCAGAAATACAGCTTAGACGTCACTGTTGTGTATGCAGTATGTTTAGAATGCAGCCATTTCCATATCAGTTAAACTACCAATCAATCATTCTTACAAATGCGGTGTATTACCTTTGTACTTACCTAAGATATCATGAGAATTTTTTTTGTGCGGACTAAGAATGCTGAATCTGGGGTGAGTGGCCATGAAATGTGAGAAGAATTGACATGGCTGTTTTTCTCAGACTGTTCATCAGTCATTCTGTCTAAAAGGCTTTGGAGCTGTCAGGAACACATGAAAGAAACAAGCAATCAGGTTATCGTCCAACAATCAAACCACCAAGGTCTGCGTGTGCTTAAAAATCCAAGCTCAGTTTAATGACTTGTTTTTTGTTTTTTTTATATATATATTTATATATTATTCCTACAAATACTGGTTTTCACCACTTTGAAAAACGTTCACTTTCCTTAGTAAACCAAGAAAGCTAGAAATATCCTACAGTGAAAAAGAAAGACAAAGACAAACCATTGTTGACCAAACAAAAAACAAAAAAATAAAAAAAAGAAAGAAAATCACAAAAAGACATGAAAATAACAGTTAAATGAAATTAAAAACAACATCCTGTACAAACACTATGGGCCAATAATTTAAGAAAATAGTGTCTCTAAATATTGCTTTGTACCTCCACTGACCAGGTCCGCTCTGTATTAACACCAGGCAGTTCATATGGCGACCGCAGTGGGCGCTAATAACCCAGGCGCTGATGTCACTCCAGAGGTTATGGGGTCAAGCTGCAGCCAGAGAAATATTTGTCGTTCTCTTCTTCTCTGGCTGTTTTGGCAGTAACAATACAAAGACAAGGGATGGTCACACTACTACAGTACTGCACTCCTTATGAAACCAAGGATGTTTTTACTGTTTGTTGTAGTTTTACCATTATTACTTTCTACAGCATTATTACTAGAACTATCACCATCACAGACACACAGAGTGCATCGTGTGTTTATGTGTGTGGAGGGTTCGTCCGGCTGTGTGTGTGTGTGTGTGCGCGTGTGTGTGTATTCGAGTATTGGTGTTCAGTGCTCAGAGCTTGTTTTCTCAAAGGAGAAGCTGGGAAGAGTTAATAACTTGGAGTTGGTGTTGGGGTTCGGTGAACCTCCGTCCTGTCCTGAACCCTCTCCGACTGCCAGGTCAAAGGAGTCCTTGGAGTCACTGGAGGGTGCTCTCCTCCTCAGGTAGGTGTCCCGGTTGGGTAGGGGAGGGGGCATCCCTAACCCAGTCAGTCCCATGCCACCGAGCCCACCCAGGCATGGGTAGAGGCCAGACTGGGGTTCCAGTCCCTCAGGGGGGTCCACAGATATACAGGGTGGGCTCATTTTCTTCTTGCGGCGGGGGGAGGTTTGAGCGGGGATCTGGCTTTGAATCTGCAGGCTGTCGGCCCGAGACACAAAGCCGGAGGAGGTGGAGTTGGTGCTGCACTGGGGGCTGGAATCAACCGGGGAGCAGACTTCCACAGAGTGGCGCCGTGGGTCGTCCAGCCAGGAGTAAGGGCGGGGGCGGGGCAGGAGGGCGTTGCGGCCCTGCGTGTCAGCGCTGTGGAACCTCTTCAGCTGCCTCAAACATGGACTCCGACTTTCCTGGCAGCCCGCGTAGCTGCCGTAACCCTCGTTCCCGCCGCTGCTGCTGCTGTCCTCGGCCGTGATGTCATCGCTGCCGGCCAACACCACCTGGTTAATGAGGGACACTTCCCGATCCTCTGACACCTCCTGCTGGGGTGGCCTGGCGGGTATGGGAGGGGGAGGCGAAGGGCAGGGGGAGTAGGAGGCGAGGCAATGCTGGTCGTGGTGCTGGGTGTGCACTGTGCTGGGACGTGATGGTTTAGGGGAGGCGCCCGGTGTGGCAGGGACCAGGCACAGAGCTGGTTGTTGAGG